CATGGCGGCTGTAAACATATGTAGTAGCTATAACATGCATCCATATAACCTCTATGTCGCGTTATTTCGTATTAAATGTTTCGGTATTTTAGCATACGTTTGGCACAGATAGAAACAATCGACGTTCGAGTGTCGACCCATAGCGAAGTATTCTCTGACGGTCCTGTTTGTCGCATGCTACATTGTCGAACACGATTATCGAATTCGGGAGCGCCTCGCTAGGGGGGATAACGTCAGAGTTGTTGGAAAATGTAAAATAACCAATATCTTCTGTTACGTCCAGACTCAAATAAAGGAAGAGTCAGCGGGAGGGCGTAACCTACTTCCAGCGCCATGATCGCGCGATGGAAGGTCGCGGTTTGTATCTCGCGCCGTACAAACGTGGAAGCGGCGCATATACGGCAAGGAGGTGAGGGAGAAGGAGAACTAAAAAAAAACTTCGTGGAAACAAACGCTAGGGATTCTCCCGTCCGCCGGCGTAACGACGAACGAACAGTTGAATCGCGCGGCGATACTCTCGCGCGTGCCTCACTTCAGAGGCGTGTTTATGCGCGACGCGCTTCCGTCGCGAGTGCGTCGTAGAGAGAGCGGTATCGTAAATTTGGACGACACATCGGGGCCTGGTACTCATTGGGTGGCGTACGCGAAAAAAGACGACGACGCAATCTACTACGACGGTTTCGGCGATCTTCGTCCACCGCGCGAACTTGAGCATTATCTCGGGCGTGATACGAATATCCAGTATAATCGTCGTTCTCAGCAGACGCGTGATCAGAGCATATGCGGGCAATTGTGTCTGTGATTTCTTCGAAGTATTCATTGGAAAAAGTTTCAACTATAACATCGATCGTTGTTCGTCGGTCGAGCGCAGTCGTCCGCGATTTGTTCGCTATACCGAATGTAAATTCTACAAATAATAAATTTTACTTCGATGATAACGACGATATTATCACGATTCCCGTTGGATCTTATGAGTTGAGCGCCATAAGCGCGTACTTGAGAGCCGCGATTCATCGCAAACGACGAGCGAATGTCGCGCGAGAAGCGGAGCGAAAGAAGGGGAACGAAGAACGAAGGACGAGCGACGATGATGACGATTATATATACGATGTCGATGACTATTACGAGGACAATGAATACGAGGGTAAAGGTGAACGTTCCATAATCCTTCGCGGTAACGATAACACCATGAGAAGCGAGATCAAGTGCGCGTATCGAGTTAATTTTACCAAACCCGATGACATCGGTTTGCTATTGGGTTTTTCATCATCTCGTATACTACAACCGAATAAATGGTACTCGTCGGCCGTATGGCCGTTAATGTCACAGTATAAGAAAGAACAGTAGGCTCACTCTGCCAAAAAGCGTACTAATAATTGTCTCTCGCGCATGACCGAATCGCACAACCAACAACATGGCGGCTGTAAACATATGTAGTAGCTATAACATGCATCCATAACGTCTATCTGTCACTATTAAGAGGATGCCGGCAGTGATGCCAGAATTGAGACGCGAGCAACATGCAACCGAGGTGGAGGGGATAACACACA